TTGTGCTTGGTGGAAGTTATCAAGACTGATCTTGCTGGAAAAGTGAAGTGTCATTCATATCACATGCTGTGGACTTTTAAAGCAAGGATACCGAAGTATCCTTTGGCAGACATCGAACATTTTTTTGGGCCCCTTGCTCATGTTGCAGGTAATATGATGGATCAGAAAAATGGAATGGCCAGCGGTACTTGAGAAAAGGCCAGTAGAGACATTTACTTACAATAGTATTACATATATATCATATATAGGCATATAAGCACAATGCTAAAGCTATCATTTAGATTATAAGTTATGGACTGATATACATAACCTGAAGAACTATTTTCTTGCTTAATAGGTTTAATGAAATGAATGTTACTATTGTATGATAATCAAGCAGGCTTTAAACTGCCATCAGTGGTACCTTTTAAGTATCAAACTTGGGCAAATTCAAGAATGCTCTTAAAGACTGTATTTGGTAGTGACCATATGATCATGTTAACCCTGACAGTAAATGAGTACCAATCTACTGACATCAGTACACACAACACAGCTTATGCTGAATAAAAAAAAAAGTTGGAGACTGCATCATGACTATGTTATGATGCTGCATATTGCCAGTAAATTTAGAATTAGGACTGCTGACCTCTTTTAATACTGATTCAGGCTAACCAAACCTAATATTCAGTGCCTATTACAGACATACTGGACTAACATGTGACATGTTTATAACAGCTTAGGTCACCCAGTTTTTAGCATTTTCTACAGGCCAATGGATGCAGTGTTATAAATTGTTACTATAAAATTGTTTCTGTAACATAACAATTAAAAGATAACAACAAGTCTCAGAAGTGACATATTGGTACTTTGGCTTGCAGATAGCTGAAGTATTTACATTTTTGAAAGGCAAATATTTTCAATTGGTCTTAGTTTTCATGTATGGAGACATTATTTTTTGGGCCTTATATTCTTTTTTATCTTTATAAACATGGGTCATTTCCCCAAAAATCCGATGTCAAAATTTAGGTGTGAAAACCAAGGTTAATCTTATGAAAAAATGTTGGTAGGATGCAAAACAGTTGTCTTAAAAGGGTGGCCTTACAGATTGCTTCTTAGTTGAGGTAACTCTTTCTCTCTCTCTCTCTCTCAAATACATTTTCAGAAAAGGCCAGTAAATCCTAAGCAAATAATATTTTGTTGTTGTTGTTGTTGTGAGCAGTCTTTGAGCACAGATGGGTTCTGAGAGTTTTTATTCCAGTGTTGCCTTTCCTTGTGAAAGGTACCTTTTCCATCTGCTTTCCGATATTTGAATATATGTATATATAAATATAAAACATAACATTCCTGAAGACATTATTTCCATCCAATTCCATTTCATTGGCAACGACCCAGTTCTTCAGAGGGACCAAATTCAACTGTTAATTTTTGTTATGATTCACCATATAATCATGAAAAATTTACTGTAGAAAGAAAGAATATGAGGTCACAAGTATGGCAGTCTAAAATATTTTCTTAAGTACTGGCAGATATGCGTATTTATCTCTTAGGCACATTTTATTTACTGATATTTTATGCAAGCTTTATAGTTAAGCTAAAATAAATTACATATAACTTCTAATTATTATAATATAATGTAAAGCTAGTTAGGGGCTAATATGTATAGATTGATTAAATAAGCACACAAGTATGTCACACACACACACACACACACACACACACACACACACACACATTAATATATATCCAGGACCATACTAGGAAAGTGCCTTTTTCTTACCATGAAATAATATTGCTGTACATAATCTGTAATACTGCTGGTGGGACAAAGTAGTAGTGTGTGCACATTGCCTTTCTGTCCAATCACTTTGTTCATCTGCTTTTGCTTTGTATATTTGGCACTTAATTTTAAGGTAAACCATATTGTGAAGCTGGGTTGTAACAGGCAAGACTAGTATTATCACATACACTATATGGTATAGCGGCTCAGGCCTGTATGAATGAGATGATTTAGATATGTCAGTACAGTAGAAATAACCCAAGAGGACCAAAAGGAAGATTATGATTATATATATATATTATTTTTTTCTCATAGTTATCTTCCTTTGTTTATCATTCCTAATAAACTGCAACTTTTAATCCAGCAGAGAAAATATGTATCAATTAACAGCATTTTTAAATGAATTTAATACTTGTATATAGCGTGATCTGGTGGGGGAGAGATCTATGCAAACTTGTGACATAGTGTCACAAAATTGACGAAGGGCAAGCACTAGAAGGTGATTTGTGTATATTTTGTTGATGATCTATTTGCCTGAGGCAATATGTAGTGAAGTGCTGTGTGATGAGTAGTGCTCATTTTTTGATGATGTAATATGCATTATTAATGATGTAATACACATACATTAATGATGTCATGGAACAATGTGCACAGAGTGTTGATGAAGTCCAACTGTTTTAATTGCGTAGAAAAGTTGGAATGAAGCTTAAAGCAAATGTTAAAATTAGCTAAGGTGTATGTTCATTTAATGTAGTTTATTCAAACTTTTAGTATAGATGTAGTTTTAAGTGATTATACTATTACATTAATTTTGTGTTGGTGAAGGAACATAGTGGGGATTACATTGATTAAGTGCATCAACCTAAAGGTCAGCTTCATTTTATTGCTGTGGTGGGTATTATTATCTGAGGATGATATGGTCTGCAAGACATAAAGACATTTTTGTGAAAAAGTAAAAAAAAAATGAGTTACAGTATATTACATACAGTTTTTCAGTTGGGGAATGTAGTCATTGCCTCAATTAATTGCTACTTTTTTTTTCTTGGCTGTTAATGCTTTAGACTGTACTAAAAAAGAATCCAATATATGTATAAAAATATATAGAGATATACGTACTGAATTTTGGTGTGGCTGAATGCCTGAATCATCCTCTAGATACAAACCACTGGATAACTATGCAACTACTCTTCTTATAATTGGTGGTTTGGCAACCTGCAGCACACTTTACTATATATATATATATATGACAGCTGTTGTGATCCTCTTACAAAGAAGTAGCAAAATTATAGATTTTTACTAATAATGAAAAAGGTTGACAATTGATTGTAAATCATGAACAAATATTAAAATAGTTCCTTTTGAAGGGATAGAAATGATGAAACAACGAATGATGAAATTAAATTTCTGCATTTACATTAAATTAGTAGTGGTTTTGCTACAGTTGATATCATCTTTGTATACTTTGTTTATTGGATATAATTATGGACTTGATTATAACTCGGTATTGCTGGTATTTCAAGCCGGTATTTGTATATTTTGAATCGGCACCAGGGTACAAAAATATGTAATCAGCAATGATCAGATTCAGTTGTTTTTTTCTTTGTATGTTTATCTAAATCTTTCTCTTTACATAGAGTTTACCTATTCATTACTTTGTTCAAATACTTGTAAAAATGCTTCATAAACTTTTGTTGGCTTTATGGGTGTGTATATTTTTCGATTGAAAAGTGTCATTTCTTATCAATTTTCCATAACAGTTAGAATTGTTATCTATGGAATAATATTTATTAGAAAAAGTAGTGAAGAAAAAGCTCAACTCAAGATAGTTCCTGAGAAATTCAGGAACAGCTCTATCAAGTATTAAAAAAATTAACTCTATACAAATGACTACTGGAAGCATTACAAGGTGTTGAATATCCATTATTTCATATTTTACGATAAATATACATCACCCACACATAAAGGACAGGACTTGTATACCATAGTTGCTTTGTTTTAACATCAGTTTATTCCAAGTGATAAATGATTGAATTATAGCGTCCAACTTAGTAGGCCAGTATCTTCCAACATGCAACAGTCTTGACAGTAACATGGTGACCATGACGTCACACGATATGACGTAACTTTACCATGTGCACGTCCAGTCTCTTATGTATGTTACAGTCACTCTTTGTATTTGTAACTGTTTCTTTAACTGCAGAATAAAATTGACTGAGTGATTTGAATTGTATCTATCATTTTTTAAGGATCACTTTAGAGAAAGCTCTATTTTATATAATACATGGATACATACATTCTTGTCAAATGTTGGATATTCCCTTCAACACAAGCATACTTCTGAAAAGGTTGAGACCTTGAATATTTTGCAGTGATGGAGGTTATATCCTGCATTTCAAAGTGACTGTTTCATAATCCAACGAAACTTGTTTTAAATCGATCCAATTTTGCAGGGACCCTTGCTGAATGCAGTCAAGAATAACTGAATGACATTTTCTCAACATCTAAGGAGTGATTAATTTTTGTGTGTGTTCAGCTTCTAAGAAAAATATTTTCACACAAAATCAATAACCCCCTTGCTGCTGAAGAGGCTTGTCATTCAATTAAGCTGATTTGCATTCAGAGTCACAATCTATGTATAGATTGATAGTTTAATTGGGAATGCACCCTAACTCGATTCTTATGTCCTCCAAAGCCCATGATGAGAAGTGAACCCAGTATCCCCATATAATAATGGTATCTCTCCATACCCCCCTTGCTTTGTTTTAATTAGATTGTCCACAGTCAAATTTTCCATAAAAGCACATATCTATCTTGAAAATAATGTGTTCCATAAGTGCAGACCCATGTTAGTCTGCACTTCACTCTTTTGAAAAAATATCTGTCCCTTATTTAAATTTAAAATTCCTCTTTCTGCTCTCTCTGGTCCCATTCACCACAGAGGACCCTCGGACAGACTAGTCCGTGGATCAAATATGGTGGACCATACTTTAAAGCAATGCCGATTAACCTTTAATGGTCTCTTGCCTACCACATGAGCCATCCTTGTAGAGGCCTAACAATTAAAGCTAAATTAAAATGGTTTTGATTGCTAGACCCCTGCGGGGATGGCGCATTTGGTAGGCGGGAGACCATTAGGGGATTAATCGGCATTGCTTTCAAGTGGAGTTGGCAATATTTGATCCTCGGACTGGTAAATCTGGGGATCATCTGTTGTGAATGCTGCCTCTCTCTGTTTCTCTCTCTCTCTCTTCACATCATGTCGTCACTTCCGTTCGTCACGTGGATTTGCATGACGTAGAAGCATCATGGTCAATGCCTTGTGCACTATCACAGTGGTTGTCTGCACTCGTCGGCCGTGGGATAAAACCATAGGGAAGAGGCATCACTACCAAATATGCTTGAGGATTTGCTTCAATGTCACTATAAGTGGGTAGTTGAGCAAGAGAAGACGGATCCGGAAAGTCCAAGTCGCTGTAGGCAGGGGGCGGAGCTATGACGTAACTGCGTATAACATGCTCCTGGTTTTGACGATGGGCTTGCTCTGTTGCCTGCGCTCTTCCTAAAAATTACGTAAATACTGTAATTTTGATTTATAAAACGACGACATGCGACCTTTTATCTTACACGTTTTCTGATTTTTTCGAACTCCCTTCAAGTAGCTAGGTAGCCCTAGGGACCCCATAAATCACTGGCCTAGATACAAATGATGATAGAATCCCCATGTGCTGTAAGCTACTCACACTGATGCCATCATTATGCAACCTCATCACATTCTCCACGATTGCTCCTTATAAAACTTTGATGCGATTGTGAAAAATATAATTAACTTTGTTGATTTATGTAAACAGCCGAGATTTTGTCGTCAGCAAGCCTTATAAATCGCCTTGATTGTATATTCAACCTTGTTAATAAATCTAAAAAAACGGAAAACTAAAATTTCTAAATTAATCTTCAATAACGCAAAAAGGGAAAATAGATAAATAAACAATCGAAACGAATCAATACCGCCATGCACCTCCATAAAAAACTATGGGGTCTACTCTCAGTGACTTACGTTGTTCCATTAGTCTTCGCTCTGCGGCACGTTGAGGAAAGTAGGTGCATAGACCCGCTGTGATGATCAGAAACACCACCAAAGTGGCCGACATGCCTCCCAACACAGCAGCAGCGTGGAACGCCTGGCCAGTTTTATAAGGGGTGCCTGAAAAGAAGCAAAACGGGGTGATTTCTTGAGTCCACCATGAGCATAAGTTCGATGAAAAATATATGACTTTGCAGAGTAGCTCAAGCCTTCCATTAAAAGAGTTTTTCCAAGATACCGAAGAGATTTTTTTTTATGTCCAGATAACGTTGTTTAATGTACATATTTGATCTAGCTATCGCATCAACTAGGTTGTGACTCAAGAAATGAGCCCATTTTCGTGGCTTCTGCGTCGGAGTAGCGGGAGCTCATGGGGGATTATTTATGAAGCGGGACAATCGCGAAATTACACAAATAATTTTTTTTTTTTTTTTTTTTTTTTTTTGCTATCATATGTTGTCCATTCGTGTTTTACGAGATATCTCCTGCTTTTCTTGTTTATAAAAAGGAGCAAGAGACGTGACGGCATACGAACAACAAAAGCAAGTTAGTGAAAAAAAATTATTTCGCCGTGGCGCGTACTTTCAAAATTGCAAGTGAGCCTATCTGGTGACGTCTTTTTCAGTCTGAGTGCGAGGGCCCACACGGATTCAACCTACCTTGGCGAACAGTAAAGTGAAGCGAGTCTAACGATCTTGAGTCACGACTGTAATGCACCAAAAGAAAAACGCCCGACGTCAGGATGGGTTCGCTGGGCATATCTGTGGTACTGTTCAGTGTCATCTGAAAACAATAAAAAAAAAAAAAGGAAAGTAAGTTTGTGATGAAATTATGTATTCGGAATAGCTTGTTCATAATTAATCTTGTGTATCTTGTTTACAAACCAATGCTGAGATTGTGATTTGGTATTAACTAGTTAATTAAAGCCAATATAGACATTATCAGAGAAAGTTCAGCAGCAACCTGTTTCATGGAGGAATTCCCGGTCATAATTCACCTCTGTCCCCTCTCCAGATTTCAGTTTTCATGGTTGTACAATATCGTTTTGGTCTAACAGGGAGACTTGTCGTCGATATTCATGTCCAATATACATCAAAGGTAATTACATATTGGTAAAAAAGAACTGCAGGGACACAGATTGATTACGTATTGCACTAATAATCTGCAAACAAATACATAAAAACTTACTAAAAGTGGACTCTTCACATTATCTCCATCGTAAAGTCTCAGGATCGACCGAATACTGATCAGATTCGTCTCGTGAAACTCCATTTTGAGCGACACTGGGGCGAGCGCGGATTTGAATACTAACTGACACACTGACGGCAGATTTGATCCCGGCGCAGCTCTGACGTCCTCCACGTCGGAGCGATAGACAGATACGACTTCTCCGCAGCTACCACTATCGTCCATGGAGCGATGATAATAAGCTGGAAATCCCAATGGAAGAAAAAAAGTCAAAGATGCAGACGTGAACGTAGGTCACATTTAACAATAGTAGGATAATGCCGAATTGGTTCAGTAGACGTAGTTTATTTTTAAAAAAATGGACGAACCGATATTTTCAGTCTTAACTGTTTGTCTAATTTTATTTCAGTTAAATCCACTTTATTTCAACAAAAACAGTGAAATATGCGTTTTCATGACGAATTCAAAGTAAATGCCATAAAACATTATATATATATATATAATGCGTTTTCCTCTAAATCACTCCCTACTTACAAGATTACAATCAACTGCGTTAGCGAAGCAGCGGCAGCACTTCTCTGTCAGAATCCGTACTATGTGCAACCTTTACTTTTCTCAGAATGCAATGCAGTTAGCAAATGAAGGTAGTATGTTACGAGTAGCCTATATCTGAGAGAGAGAGAGAGAGAGCGTGTGTGTGTGTGTGTGTGGGCTGGGGGGTGGGGGGGGGGTCGGGGGGGGGGGGGGGGCTTTAACTTACCCAGGTCTGGGTCACGCGTCATCATTTTAACTTTCTCCTCTATCCGCAGTGTTGCGACTATTTTAAAGTGAAAATCTATGCTGCTCCTACTGCCCGCTATCATGCGAACAGATAGAAATCGACTGTTGGTACTGTATGACATCTTAGGTGTCGATGATTTGGAAGATAAACGCAACTAAAATGTAAAAACAGATTGACTATTTACCATACCACTTCCAAGTTTACACTCATGAGCTCTGTGTATAGTTTCGTAAAAATGTCACGATACAAAATAATAGGAAGAACAAAAGAAAAAAAAGAAATATATTAAAGAAAGAGAAGAGGGCGTACACATCGTGGAAGACCTCTAGTTAGAAATAAGATTCGAATTTCATGATGTTCGGTTTTGTTAACGTACCATTTCATGACTGCTTTGGTCGCCGTCGTAAAAGACTAAATAGGAATCACTTCTGTTGCTCCAGAAGAAGCCTGATTTGAAGTCTACAGTGAGAACATGATCCAAATCCTGCGCCTTGAAAAGAAAACGACAGCTTGTCGGATCCCCTACGACGCCGCTGCTCGTGCCTTCAGGACCCCACGCGTACATTTCCACAGTTGACGCAGACGACAGTGCTTTATACTTGGCGTTCTTCCTCCAGCAACTCCCGCCATCGTCCATCGAGTCTATTAAAATAAAGAAAACATTCATTCACTCATCAGTAAAACCCTCTTCTATGCTGAACGCTTACAATTCACACAGACGAAGTATTTGATGGGCAATTTCACAAATAAAAGTGATCGACACAAACTGACTTATTTTCGGGCATATTTGTTACATAAATTTTCCATCAGAGACTACAACAGCGCAGATGCATACATACATCACAGGAAACGAAAAAGTGGAACCTGGGATAACAAGTTCTTTTTCGATGAAGAAAGAACACCTGGTCTCCAGACACGAGTAGGTAAAATGAAGATTACAAAATGAGATACGGTAATTCTCCAATCTATACGAACGNGGCATCTTAGGTGTCGATGATTTGGAAGATAAACGCAACTAAAATGTAAAAACAGATTGACTATTTACCATACCACTTCCAAGTTTACACTCATGAGCTCTGTGTATAGTTTCATAAAAATGTAACGATACAAAATAATAGGAAGAACGAAAGAAAAAAAAAGAAATATATTAAAGAAAGAGAAGAGGGCGTACACATCGTGGAAGACCTCTAGTTAGAAATAAGATTCGAATTTCATGATGTTCGGTTTTGTTAACGTACCATTTCATGACTGCTTTGGTCGCCGTCGTAAAAGACTAAATAGGAATCACTTCTGTTGCTCCAGAAGAAGCCTGATTTGAAGTCTACAGTGAGAACATGATCCAAATCCTGCGCCTTGAAAAGAAAACGACAGCTTGTCGGATCCCCTACGACGCCGCTGCTCGTGCCGCCAGGACCCCACGCGTACATTTCCACAGTTGACGCAGACGACAGTGCTTTATACTTGGCGTTCTTCCTCCAGCAACTCCCGCCATCGTCCATCGAGTCTATTAAAATAAAGAAAACATTCATTCACTCATCAGTAAAACCCTCTTCTATGCTGAACGCTTACAATTCACACAGATGAAGTATTTGATGGGCAATTTCACAAATAAAAGTGATCGACACAAACTGACTTATTTTCGGGCATATTTGTTTTGTAAATTTTCCATCAGAGACTACAACAGCGCAGATGCATACATACAACACAGGAAACGAAAAAGTGGAACCTGGGATAACAAGTTCTTTTTCGATGAAGAAAGAACACCTGGTCTCCAGACACGAGTAGGTAAAATGAAGATTACAAAATGAGATATCATTTGTGATGCCACTGTACTGCACGTGGTCTACATGTATGAGGGGGCTGGGGGGGGGGGGCTGCTTGCATTGGTTATCATTGGTTGGATGAAGATGGGACCCCGCTTTGCTTTGTTTACTGGTTGGCGTGAAGTGGACCACCGCTTTGCATCTTTTGGTTGGACCAGTGAACGACGTTAATAGTTGTCCGTCCCCTCGACTCAACACTCAACCATCCGCTACAACCAACAGCAACCCTTACTACTGCGCACTTTATAAAATCCGTAGGCCCTGATTTCAGTACACCTCCCCGCGGCGTTGTATCTTCCATCAGTGTTCGCTGATGTTAGAGGTGAGTTTCCAGTAGACGTTCAAACAGCCTAACTACAGGAAGAAGGCCGGGTGAGGTTATTACACCGCAGTTACCACATAATTACACCTGTGTAGGCGCATGGAAAAGGACCACGTCTTAATGAATCCGGTCAAGTGATGTTCTGAACTTTAGGCCTTGAATTATGATTCGAATAAAGTAGAAGATAAGTTCCACCTCCTGCTAGAGTGCAAAGCATATGATTCAATACGTGATCCATTTAGAGGGCAGCTGTCAGAGTTCCTACCCCTAGGTGACCTCAGCAATAATGAACTGTTTAATTTTCTTCTGGGTGCTCAAGACTTAGATATTCTTAGAATGGTTATGTGTTTTGTAAATAGATGCTTCCAACAAAGGGAACAGGCCCTCTCTTAATACATTGTACTCTTTCCAGTATATGTATTTAAACTCATCACCTATAGATTATCATTGTACATTTTAAATTTATCTTTTTATAAATTAATTTATTGGTATTATTATACATTTATTTAATTGGATCTAAATGTGTGTCCACGTCCTGCAGATTTACGTATCTGTAGCAGGAGTTGTCTGTTTAACCTCTATGAATGTACTTTATACGTAAAGGTCGAGATCAGTAAAGGTCAGTAAACTTTCCTTTTCCAGTGTGAGATCTAATATAAGCTGCCAGACCTGGTAAACTGATTTTTTAACACGTATTTATTTATATCGCCTTTATGCAAACATTAAAATCAAGTATATTTTTTCATTAACTTGTTTGTACTCTGTTATAGTTAGATGTGCTGTCTTTGATTGTATCTTATTTGTGAAGGTGTATCAATAAAGAATCCCATTTATGATACAGCTGGAGTGCCCATATGTAAAGACCCGATAAAAAACTGCACGGGTCTGATAAAAAGGAGAGATTTCAGTGATTAAAATCTCACACCTCAAAGTGCTTTGATAATAATGATTTTGGAATAGAGAAATCTGATTTTTTGTCCTGATAGTTGTTAGAAATATATTGCTCCTGTAAGAAAGAAGGTTGATTTTACCTGTTTAACTTAATAGTCTCGTGTTAAGTTATGATGTGGCCGATTATGCATATTCTTAGCTATACATGTACATGTTTAAGATTAAATCTACACAACATATCCAGATACACAAAATTTTAATATCCGCATGGATCCTAAATTAATGCATCTTTTGTGCCCATTCCTTTTAGTAAAATAGTCGAGATAATGATGTATTTCTGGTCAACGTCGCCGTAAGGACACGTAACTTGAGGTGACCACCCTTAAGTCTACTTTATAAAAGAACTTTCAGACTAGCAATTAGTCTTCTCTGTCCCAGGATAAATCAGAAGCAGTGCAAATAAGAAAAATATTGTACCTATTACATAAGGAAAATATTATTTCTGACAAATAGTAACTCTGGTTTGGAAGGCTTACACAAACTGATCTCGAACTGAAGTAGACCAAATATTTCATCATAACATTTAAACTTCCATTTGTGAAACATAGCACAAGTGGTGGTGATGGTGGAGTGGGAGAGTGGGAGAGGGAGGGTGCAAAGAAATAAATATTTCAATTCAATTTTGATAAGTATGCAGTTTATCATCCCGAGATAATGCCATTTCGTTCGTCACATCTTGGATGTTTCACAAGAATTGTACAGCGGGTCTAAATTAAAGAACCCAGCGTCAATGTTTTAGAAAAGATGTCAAGACAACGATCAGGCAAATCATCATTTACTGAAGCAAAATCTTTAACTTATTTTAGCAAGTGGAGCTGCAGTAACTATTTTAAAATTCTTCCACTTCTGTTCTCCATAAAATGTCATAAGTTGCTGTTCCGAGTGTAAAACAAAAAGGGGGATACGTAACTTTTTTATTTTTGTTTAATGTCTTCAATTTTTTTTCACCGTGCACCTCCAGCAAACTCTGGTCGTTTTTTTTAACACGTTGTAAGAAAAAAGGGGTTGGAATCCTATTCCATCGTTTTATAATTTCATTATATTCTCATGTTTTTATATATTAATTTCTTTTTGTTATTGCCACTATGTTTATACTTTTCATTTAAGCATATTCATTTGTTTAAATAGTTGCATGTTTTATCCGTTTGTCGATTTTTAGGAAAATGGGGGAGGGACATTGGGTCCACTTTTGTACCATACTTACAATATGTATCCTCTCCATTGACTTGAAACCTACTTAAGCCAACCAGTTGGAGAGCGAAAAGAAGACGCCTCCACAGCATTCTTTAACACTGCCCTGTGAAAAAAAATACTATCGTTACATTGGGAGACTGACGATTACATTTAAACTTGAATTTAATATTTCCACATTTAATATATGATTATAAGAAAAGGTCTCTCACTCTTGTGGCATTTGAAAAGAATAAAATTTTCCGGTATCACAAATGTATATGCTTATAACGTGCATGTACACTGCAGGGGAGTCTTGCTGATACTCCAGCGATACTCGGAGGCCGTTTTCACCTTGTCTACTGTCATGGTAGCCATTACGGAAAAGAAATTCCCCAAAAGATGGCACTGAGAAAGCACTTAGTACAATTCTATCACTAAAACACATTGTTTAAAAGAGCATTCCGAGAAGGAGTTTTTCTCCATACAAACCGGGCATGGTGAAATTGTTCCAAACAAAGATAAGGTCAGCCTGATGAGCAGAATTTTAGCTGCCTCATCGAATACAAGCAATTTTTAGATAAGAAACCAAAAGCAAGTGTCTAAAAACAATCAACAAACAGAAACTAAGAGAGCACACATTACCTTAATATTTAACCCAACCGTTGGCGTTCAGGTCGATGCAATAAGTACGTGCCGTTCGCGTCCTTCGTTCTGCGGTTTGGTTAATTCCCTGCCCTTACTCGTACCTCCGTCTTCAGCTGAAGAGATAATATCACATATGCATACTGTGCAAATGCTCAGACAAAGCCAGTGTGACCCACATACATACATAATCGTGCATAGGGGTCTGCATACATACACGGGGGGGCTTTTTAATATGTATGCTTGAGATTACGTAATGGCGGTAATTACCACTTAAGACCATACAATGACTTGGGACGCTTAACACTGAAACCTGTAAGATGTGAAACAGATTAGAGAGGATTCCATCCGGAAAACTAGTGTAACAAAAGAATTATTGTTTTGATAAAATTGTCGAGGGAAACATCTTAGATGTTAACATCCTCCCATCGGCGTTTGGCGTGGCCATATTTTTAAAAGTCTGCGCTATTGTTAAAACAGACCGAGAATAATATTCCATTTGTTAACTACTTACTAATATATTTGTACTTATAACATATATTTCCTTATAATTAAGTGGATGCTGAATTACTTGGATGGCGTTTTACTGCGAGCAAGGAAAGTGAAAAGAAAAAAAATGTAGCTGGAGTATGCATACGTGGAAAATGACTTTAGTGNTCAGATGTTTACTTCCTCCCATCGGCGTTTGGCGTGGCCATATTTTTAAAAGTCTGTGCTATTGTTAAAATAGACCGAGAATAATATTCCATTTGTTAACTACTTACTAATATATTTTTACTTATAACATATATTTCCTTATAATTAAGTGGATGCTGAATTACTTGGATGGCGTTTTACTTCGAGCAAGGAAAGTGAAAAGAAAAAAATGTAGCTGGAGTATGCATACGCGGAAAATGACTTTAGTAGAGAACATTGAAACATGAAAAACAGACGAAATTAATGTCGGCTAGAACAACAATGTGTTAGTTGTCCGTTTGAATGCCTTAAAAGCAGTGCGCGCATTTACAGAATATTAAGTGGCCACTTTTTGTAGATTTATTATTTACCAAGGTTCTCGCTTGAATTTGCCCTGCATGTATGATACACCTTAACATGGAGTCCCAAATATTGTAAATCTGTTCTAGAAACCGACACACGTCTTTCTTAACAGCTGTAAGGCACAAATATCCCGACTGATGAAATTGACAAGCATTTCAATGCTGATAAAATGGGCTAAATCGATACATCACTTGAAGTGTGATGCGACACATATACTGGTAAATACGCATATTACGTTACTAGAAGAAAAAGTAAAACACAGCTATCTTGGTTGTTCATATCTTCATAATATCCTATTCCATCGGCTGACTCCAAAGGTGACCAACTTCAACTTGTGCTTATACCAGTACATGTAATATAACGCTTGCCTTCATTGGCGTTATACTACATATAGAAAATAATACGATAGAAAGACATACCTGCACTGGAGTTAACAGTCAACAGATATTCAAACGGACTGAAAAAGAACAAAGCTGGAACTAGCCTTTATATGAATGGCAGTGTCGCCCCGTAATGACAGGGGCCGGTGAGGTGAGGACGGGTTGTAAGACAAGAGGTGTTAGGGGTGCTGGGAGGACATTGTCGACATTGCCTTCGCCATATTGATAACAATGAGCCAGGTAAAAGAACATCTCACTTAAAGGATGTCTTAACGCAAACAAATTGCATGTTTTTCTATACCCGAGGCAAGACTGAAATACTGAAGGATTCGCTCGGCTGATGACGGCACACCGTGACCCCGTTTGTCCGGCACATCACACGGGCTTACTACCCTCAGTGTAAGGTCAAATGACGTTGTCGTCTTTGTGGTTTTTTAACAATTCCCTGTCCAACGTTGTAAGTTTGGGGGGGGGGGGCATTCTTTTAAGAATTTTATTGCAATCATTGTTTATCATTTATTTTTGTCTTTATTCTATTACATTATTTATTCTATTTGTATCTGTACATTCTCAGTATGTCAGTCTGGACTGTGTCGAAGGCCTGGTTTGAAAAGTATGAATAAAGGCAATTATTTATTTATTTATTTATTGTTGTTGTTGCGCAGCTGATACAGGCTAGTCAACGCCCTTCAATCCTTTTAAGTTTAAACTTGTTCCTATTTTTGATATTTAAACGGAGGTAGGAGCGAGGGACCATATTATAAACATACATGTATCCTACAATCTACAGACTTGAAATTCTGTATGGAATATTTTTTTCAAATCATTTTTCTTTGATTTTTCCTACTTTTTAACACAACAATTGTACAGAAGGATCTTCTGTTATTTCTGCTCAGTAGATGAGGAACAAAAGTGCCAAGAGACGTGCATTAACACCCCTTTAACGACAATCTTTACAGAGTTAAATGGTTATAAAAGCGTTTATTATGGCCTACTTTATGTATTTGTAGGGACCAACGACTTGTCACATCTCCATCACTTCTGTAGTAAACGTCCTAATAATGTTCAGGAGGGACAGACGCCATAATATTACCGCAGATAAAAAGTTGTTTTAAGTAGTTGTCAAATTCAGTATCTTATTCTAAAATTACATAGAATAACATTTTAGATATGATCCGGAGTAACAGATCAAAGGCGAAAATGTGCCAATGGTCAATAGCTTCTCAGAACTTTACAATAACTTAGAACAGAACCAGTTTTTATTATTTTTTTATTTCAATATTTTTTATTTTTTGAGTATAAATCTTTCTATTGATAAATTCTTTTTTACCCATCAATTTATTTGTTTATTAGCATAATGTTCATTTTAGCTGTGGCTGCTCATTCTTTTCTAAATTTTTACTTTCTTTCTATTTTCTATATGTACGGACATAAACATTATTTATATTTTCCTTCTGTTTTCTTAAGGAGAGCATATAATGCTGTATGCGATTTGCCTCCTTTTCTTTTTCTAGAGTAAACCTTTTTAAGAGTAGCTTCAACAAGCACAACCATGCTGAGACAGGACAGGTTTCAAAATGTGACCGCCTCGGTCGTTTATAATTAGAAAAAGTACAAATTCTATAGTTATGGATTATGAGTTACAAGTCATTGTGATTAGATATGAATATCGCAATGTTAATTTCGCTGAATAGAATTTTTAATCTGTTATTTTAAAAATGCTCGCGTTGAACAAGCTTTTAGAAATGGTATTTCAAGACAGACTATACCTAGTAAATAATACCATATCAATATGAACCGAACCTCGTGGTAATATGACGAAATATCATTCCTAGAGAAAAAAAACCTGCCACAAAATAAATTTAATTGGTTGCTAAATTTGATACATGGAAGTATTGCGAGTGCAACCTCCCATCACATAATACCAGCAGCTGAGTTTCTAACTAACAGCAAATAAACATGTTTAAAAGAAAAAAACCTTCAACCAGCCATATCTATACTTCTGGAGATATCCCGTTTTCTTTGGTTGTAGTCACTGTGCCTACCTGTACTTACTCATCAGTGTGACGATTGTCGTTTGTTTATATAACTGTCAATCAAGCAGCCTGCACTTAACCGCTTTGATCATCACCTATCAATCAAAGGAAGTAAAAGTTCCTGTGTGATTGACGTTTGTTTATATAACCGTCAATCAAGCCGCCCGATGTGGAAATTTGATTTTACAGGCCATAAAACTTCGAACTTCAAATTTTTTCTCCCATTCCTTATCTGGCATTGTTGATCTACTTAATTCAGGTGTAATTTAGGTGAGCTGAAAACTTGGTTTAATTTTTTTTATTTTAATGTTAAAACAGCTCTCAGAAGTATGCTTCTCCCCCCCCCCCCCCCAATGAACGACAGTTTTTTTTTCAAACACACCTGTGATAAAAATATTTAAACATTTTTTTTTAATAAAATAATTAAAATCATAGAGACCGAAATAGTATGCTTCACCAGCTAGTGATATAATACATATTTTAAACTATGTGAAAACAAACCTTTTTCATCATCTGCTCAGATTTATACTTCTGAGGACCGCGGTTCTCTTCGGCCATGTTTCTCTTCGACAGCTATAAATATCTATCATGTGGATGTTTGTAGAGATTGACGTTTGTTTACGTAGTTGCCAATAAAATAGTACCGGCAGATTACTTAAACCACTGTCATTTCAAACATACAGTCGCAGTCGTAAATCTAAAGACAGCAGAGTAAAAAAGTTGCACCACATTGTGGAATTCTAACGTATTAATTTTACTAATGAATATAATTCAGAGCGAAATTTGAGCAAAAATTCGTTAAAAGCGTACGTAGACCTGTCATTATAACTGGCAGACCTGGGTCCGTGTCTCGAAAGGTTCGCTATGTTGCGCACGTGCGTTAGTGTCTCGATTCCATAACCGATTCTTTCGAGATACGGGGCCATGGAATCGAGACGCTAACGCACGTGCGCAACATAGCGAACCTTTCGAGATACGGAGCCCAGGTGTAACTTAAGATACATGTAAATGGCGCAAAGTAAAACAATAGTAATTGGGCATACATATTATTGTGTCTTTATGCAATTTTGTTCTAAAGCGTGTTGAATTATTTATGTAAAGATGTGCATTGTAAGATCTTCCGGCAAAATTTTCAAACTTCACCAAATTTCCTGGGATTAATGGTATTTTTCTCCAAGTGACCAAACTTTGAACAAACCAAGGAAGTACATGTCATGCATACTTAAAACTGTTCGGATAAAAACGTGCATTTGACCACAGACAGTGACCTTCACAATATCGTTTCATCTAGGGGTGGTTTAAGGTATGAGATTTATTGTATCAATGGTGTGTTTTGAAATTTATGTAGCACATATGTGGCCGATGAATTTTTATCGCCGTAAATTGTAAATAAAGGTTCAACTATAGGATAATTATGAGTATTGAACTAAAATGCGTCCAATACACTCTGCCTCCTCCCCCCATGAATCTAATTGGACTCGCACTCAAGAAGGAGATGTCACTTCTCTATCAGTTCAGAGTGACCAGGAAGTGGATGTGAGACGGTCAAGACACTAAGTATACGAATATGTTAGTTTCAACCGCTTTAGTACAGCGTTGTGAGATATTAATGTTAGGTATTTGATGAGAACTTATTTGTGATTTGCATTTCATATCGAAATGCTGAAACTGGTTTTTGTAATGCCCCAATTTCCCCCCTTTTGCTTCCTCCATATTTCCTTCAGCTCTTCACAGCCCACGGAAATGACAAATGCATTTGCATCTTATGTTTACTATTTTGATGGTAGAAATAGTAGTGGCAGTAAAATGTTTACGTGTGGAAATGTCAAGAATGGGGAAATGTTGTGGATTGGGCAGCTTGATCCATAGTTATTAACATGTAACATTGTTGATATTTTGTGCCCAGTAGTTGAGTATTATATTTCCATTTCTAAATTAAAGAACGGATTATAGGTATAATAGTTTAATTTCGTAGAGTTGTTATATTTCAATACGTATTTAAAAATATACGTATATATTATAGGTATAGGAGAGATTTTTGAACGTGATTCTGAAATCTTTACCCAAGTTGCAATTATGACGTCATCGGTAAACTGTCATTAGTATAAAGGCAATGTAAGAACGTCCATGAACAATGAATATTTATCTTTTATCCAAAACATGTAAGCTAATGCAGTAATATGAGTTTTTGTCAAGCCCTGGCTCTGAACCCCTAAAGATCATAATAGGGCCTATAGTAGTAGTAGTAGTAGTAGTAATAATATAAAAACAACTAGTAGTAATTTAATTCCAAAAATTAAAAGTTGTTATATTTCAATTAGTTTTAATATTTGAGCTGAGTTCTAGTTGTGCTATGGTTGGAAACTTTGTTTGGGTATTTTTCCACATTTTGATTGTTGTTTTTCGTGCCTGAAACGTTTTTTTTACTTTAAATGCTTTAATATGAAATTAGAAAAAATGTTTTGTTTGTGTTCAATGTCATTTCAAGATAATGACCGATTGTTTAGTTTTAGAATTGACGTGTAAATAGAGCTGGCAAATTTCAATCTCCATCAGCAAATATTTCCTGAGGTTGAAAAGCTGCTTTGACAGGTGTGAATAGAATCTGTATTGACGTGCATAAAACGAAAAAAAAAACTTTTTTTAGCATTTATCTTGATTTGCTCATCACTGTTGTGGATCTAATCTTAATTATTAAGGTTAGTCTAATCGTGTAGATCAATAACATCCATTTTCTTGAGTACAGGTTCATAGAATGTACAATGTGAAACTTTTTATATTAAAACACTGGTATAACTGGCATTAGTGACAATGATACCTTGGACAAAACTGCGTTAAGTTGAAGGGGTCATTCATTCGAGTTGCCCTATTTTCTAAGAACCTGCTGTTCTTTGAAATTTCTTTCACCAGCAACATTCACTTTTTATGAAAACATGTCGGATGTTTGTATACTGTTCTTGATAGAACAAAGATTGAAGGATCATTTTAGACAAGTACTGACAGGAGAAATATTCACAGCGAGTAAAGGGCTTCTGTATCAACACCTTGTTGATAATTTCACAGTGCAATTTTACTTGAATAAGCCAATTTCACAGAAAAATAAGGAATTTATCGCAAAATTTAGGCTTTCATCACATAATCTAGCTGTAGAGACTGGCCGATACACAGACACAAATAAGAAATTAAGAATCTGTTATGCAATTTAAATGATGTAGAGGATGAAATTCACTTTATCTTTAAATGCCCTCACTACAACACGATTAGGCAGAAATATATTAAGAAATTTTATTATACAAAGCCAAGCGTCTTTAAATTAATTAAATTACTATCACTTAACAATGTATCACAATTAAACAACTTAGAAAAATATCTGAAATGTGCATCGGAACTAAGATTAATGTCAGTCCGATGAATTATTATTATCATTATTGTTATTGTTTGTATCAGTAGTAGTTGCTTGTAGTAATGGCAGTTGATTAGATATAACTTTATATTGTCACTGTTTTATATTCTGATGAGCCGTAGGGCTCAAAGGTTTAATAAATTGAATTGAAATTGAATTCATTCTTTCGACTGCTTCGTGCAGTAATGATGTTTATTTACTCGTGTGTGAGAGCAAGTTATGTAATGAAGGTTACGGGATTTTTGATATAGATAATGACTGTATCCAGTACAACTTCAGGCCCGTAGCCAGTGGGAATTCGGGGGGTTCGAAAGAACCGCCCCTTTTTTGCCGGGAACAGGTCCCCTCTGGGTAAAATTGTATCTAGGTACAAGGAGGTTTTATGGTAAAAAGTCCACTTTTTCAGAAAAAGAACCTCCTTTTTGAAAATGCTGGCTACAGGCCTGGACTTATTCATTGATCTGTCATAATTATCCAGATCTGATAGCCGTACAAGTGGCAAATACTTTTGTACAATATCGTTTTATGTAAAAGAATTTGTGACATTTTAAGTTCCGCATCCTTATTTATCATTTGTTATTCGTTTGATTATGTAGTATGCTAGACATTGAAAATACTAGTAGTTTGGTTAAAAGGTTTATTCTGCAAATCAAATAAAGAAAAGGATTGAAATTGTCACACTGTTGAGAGAGTTCTAATGTAGGTATCAATAACATTGTCTTTGTTGTTATATTTGAATATTTAAACCTTAAGGTATTTTTCAAAACTGTGCATTTACATGCAGATACTTTAAAATAAATGGAATTTCATTGCATTCATTAACAGACTTTGTTTTGCTTTGAATAAAGGATTTTCCAAAGTTGCAAAATGTAGCATTTTCATTGACTCGGTGGTACCCACCATTGACTTGGTGGATTAGAGTTCAGTTTGGGTACTTAGATATCACTGAATACTTTTCACGCATGGCATTTTTTTAAATAATTTTCCCTTTGGTTACTATAAGAAGAAGGTCTACCTGTGGAGGGTGGGTGGGAACACTTAGAGGAGTAGGTAGCGCGCTTGCCTCCAAGTCAGCAGGTCCCGGGTTCGAATGCTGGCGCTCCTGGGTCCCAGCAACTTTCTTTTTGCAAAAATAATCAATTGTATTACTACAAGAGGGGCGCACGAACTCTAGAAGGAAAGCTGAGGTAGTTGCGCAGAGATTCAAACAGCTGGATTTTCTTCAGGGACAAGAGAATCGTAAGGGTGATAAGGGTTCGCGGCGAGTAATAAAATTAAGATTTTGCAAATATTGTAACAAAGTTCGACATATATAGGTTTATTTATGTCCAAACATATACAAACAAAACATTTGAATATGAAAACTGAAAAGTATGATTTTGCTTTATAATAAAGACATTTTTGTATTACAACATCGTATTCCGAAATATAAATCACGCCAAAATACAAAAAAAAAGAAAAAAAAAAGGCCCACTATCGCTAACTAAAGCGTGTTGAAAATTTTATGCATTTGGAAATCGCTGCTCACACGAAAAATCCTCTTGATTAAAAACCTGGAAGCTCTTTTTTTAAACTGGAAGTATTTGATTATCTCCTAAAAGTTTCATGTCAAAGCAATATACGTAATGAAGTTGAGATATTTTGCTCCACAGAGTTTTACTTATCATAAAAATCAATAATCAGCCAAGTGCCTAACTGAAGATTTACCCAATTTACCCACAGAAAATTATTGCCCATCAAATAAAAAATTAGTGGTGTTAGTACAGTACTCTACCGGAACATGGCTCAGTGATAACTTCATAACTATCATTTTTCTTTTCATCCAGCACTTAGGCAAAACACAATGCATTGAAATTATCTTTGCCATAACTCCAGTTCGAGAATTGATGGATACCTCCTCCCGACACAGATGTTTGAATAAACTACGCAAAGCGCCATGCTGTCGGGCAGAGTACTGTACTACGACTTAAAAGCAAGTGTATAACATACAACCAACAACATGTAAGGTTGGTGCTTAGTATAGATTTAGTCCATTTCTTTCTTTTTTCTTTTCTGATCATAAGTTTATTAAATAAAATGCTCGCTGCGTGCTACCGTTAAGTTGATGCACATTTTATGCATTGAATTGCAATCCTACGCAAACATTACAGTTATATAAAATTTTAACCCTGCAAATTAACTAAAACACAAACTTCGGCAGGCAAAATAAACTTGACATGGGTTCGGGCGCTGCTGAACACGAATCAGAAATCTTTGATGGAGAACGCATCCAATCGCCCGGTTAAACAGCAGGTAGGAATCACTGAAATTAAAAGAAGAAAATCACAATCACGAAAGGCAGTATGTCATGCCATTATATTAACAAAACACCATTCAACTTTGAAATGCTAGAACATATCAAATGAAGCATCACGTTTTCAGCAATCACACACTTTGCAACGGTGCGATTCCTATTCTTTTATACCCCGTGCCAAGAAGTTGTAGAACTACAACTTCTTCCCTGTTCACACTATTAACGGAACTAACTTCTTTAGATTCATACGTAAGATGCAATGTGACAAGACCAGGCGGTCGGATTAAGAAGATAATCACGGATATGACAGCCAGTGAATGAAAACGTGTGGGCCCAATTTGCATAAAATTTACAGAATCTTAAAAATTATTTAGGCATTTAGGCCAAACAAGGGGTTTCTAAAAGAAGGGGGTGAGCACAATAAGAACATAAGACGAGGATACATTTACTGTTATTTGTATGGCATATTGATGAAAAATAGCTGGATTTGTCTCATTTCGTTTCATCCGCCCGCTAGCCTGGCTCCGCCGTTTCCAGGAATATAGTGACACAATATTTCAACATCTTATTGCTAAATATGCATTTGTCTGTTTAAAGTTTAATAAATAAACAGCAAATTTTCGTACTTTGAAAAACAAGTCGATGTCCTCGCCAAGAAATCCGAGTCCAGTAGTTTAACATTTTTGAAGACGGAGACACTTTCAGACCTTCGGACAGCTAAAATAAGACCCTTCCCTCCTCTTTGTCAAATGCATTTCCTCACTAAAATAACAGAATAAAAATTCAAATTTCAAATTTTAAAATGATTTTGGACTTCTAATAGAGAGTGCATTTGACATGAATATGAAGTCTCCACGGCCATAAGGACTATTTGTGCTAAATGCTCCATTTGGGCGAACGTTGTCAACACAAAATACGCAACATAATCTTATATCATCTATACAACACTTATACGGCAGTTTGCTGTCATTTTCAGTGCTAAATTCTTTGTCATATGTGGAAATTGTATCAACGTACCATGAAAAATCTGTCTTCTCCATCTTCTACTGACCTTTGACCTATCTGAACACCTCTCACAAAAATGCTCACCTGATTTCCATAATAATGCACAGCTCCCCCGCTTTCCGCACGAAAGCTTCGATTTAAAATTGTTATATTTGATGCAGTACAATGGATCTCTAGCCAGCGTGACAGGCATAGTAGTCAGCTGAAAACCGTAGTCCGTTCAACATTAGTTAGTGCAGGTAAGATTCTTCCCATTTTATACTAACCCCAATGATCCAACTAATCCATGGGACCCCAAACTTTCATTCCTAGTACTACCATACCTGTCACACGGGGATGGTGGTTTGGGATTGCTGTTATAAAATGACAAAACAATAGCATCTTATTAGTGGCAGATTTAGGGAAGGTGTCAGGGGGTCCTGACCCCCCCACCCTTTCTGGAAAAAAATCACACCAATATTCCCCTGTTGATATTAGAATTTTGAAGAGCTGAATCATAGTTTTAAACTGCACCAAATGGTACTGTTTGCCCTCCAAAACACCGAACTTGACACCAAAAAGGTAAGGGTCGGCTTCGCATCCGAGGCCTGTCATTCTTTAAAAACTGGACCCTCCCCCCTTCAAATAATCCTGGATCCACCCCTGCTTATCAACCATTATATTTGATATCAAATCGTCAGGCTCAGCAATCAGATTTCATTGGTCGAATGCATAAGTGTAATGTGTTAGAGAAGACAAGATGCGGACTCGTAGGGCTCTGACATAGTTCACGGAAATGAATTGGTAGAACACACGGTTTCGAATGATAAAATACATGCATTAGAAAAAATGCATTGGTTTTTAGTGTCTTAAAAAAAAACAGAACCTTGGGTTTTACATTGACAATACTTCCTTGTACACAACATTGCGGGTGGCAGAGGTGGTAGGGCAGATTTTCAGTCTATCTTTAGCGCCAACACGCGACAGCGTAACGTACAGCATGCCGTGCAGAATAAAGTTTTTCTGCATATACCTATGGATTTACGCTTTTCCTGAAACAGAGTGTTTGTAAGTGTGTTGTTTGTAAGTGTGTTGTTTGTGTGTGTGTGTGGGATGGGAGGGGGGTTATTATAACTTATCGGGAATAGATATCTTCATTTTTTGTCCAATTTCGTCATGTTTACAAAGAAATTAAAGGGGCACATGTTCCTTGTTCACATTTCATCTCTGCCCATCTGGGCTTCCTTTTTACCTTCTACAAGGAGCTTACGTTTTTGGTTCCGTTAGTTATTTCGTTATATTTTGTTTGCGATTTTTGTATTGGTAAAAGAGTCGCTTCTTTAAGAGACTTAAAGTTTTTACCCGTGAGGGTTGGCGTTTTAATCTGTCATCAATGGATCTTGATAACACGATCAACGTGAGAGGCTCTACATTTTCACCTTCTCTACACAAGTAGCAAGGAAAAACTTATTTCGTCGATTTTATACTGCAGCAGAGTATCATATGAGGATGCGGTATGTTTATCACGAAAGCAGTAAAATTTTGCCTTTTGTCATGCAGGCCTATTTCCTTCTGATTTTGATTTGATTATTTTCACTGAAATAAGTCTGTGCATACAGCCTTATGTTTTCTACCTCTGGGGTTTGAAGTAGGCGTTCTTAAAACTACAGACATAAACCTGTCGCACGCAAAGACCTCATAATAAACTAGTGCTTTCTTCATCAATCATTAACACTTACGATTAACTGTTGAAAGCTTTACGTAAACGATCAAAGCTGTCTTTAAGTCTCAGGTTGGACCATTTTACTCCTTGTGAAAGGTTACTTTGAGAAAAACAAAAACACGGAAAAACTTTAAGTTGTGTTAAAGCCTTTTCAATACATGACGTGTGTATGATTTTGGACATTTAAATGTCAGCGACTCCATCCGAGTTTATTCAGCTCGAAAATATTATAACCTGGATACGAAAACGTTTCCAATGAAAAAAACCTGACTGCTAACTTTTCGTCTTATGTAGGAGACAAGGGGGATATTTGCAAAGGGGAAAGTTGAGGATAGTTCAACCATGCTAACATGGTTGAGGATAGTTCAACCATGCTAGCAAACACTGACAAGTTAATATCATGAAAGTTCATCAATCAGATTGAGAAGTTAATTACCTAGAATTGGCTCGACCAAACGAAAAGACTTAAATTTTTAGTTAGGTATTTTAGGCAATGTGAGAACATGATAAAGGAAACTTAGGTATAAATCTTAGAAAAGCCAATTTGTTCGTTTTTTTCTTTATTAATAACTCGAAAGCTCCGTTCTGTGCTGGGCATAGTCAACTGACTGGGCTTTGAAACTCCGGGTGACGGAGAGCGTATGCTGCGTAGAGGAGAGATTTTGTTAGAATTGTGAAACTCCTGGTGACGGAGAGCGTATGCTGCGTAGAGAAGAGTTTGTGTAAGAATTGTGAAACTCCTGGTGACGGAGAGCGTGTTCAAAAATGGGGGGGTCATCGTCAGTGCATCAGTTCATTGGAATTAAATCGATAGCTACTAAGTGAAAAAAGAAAAGGTAAACTGAATTATTTTATTATATGAACGACATGAGCTTTATGTACAGAATGAATCATGAAATCAATGTAAGAAATTATTTGCCTACCAGAACTAGTACCGATATAGAAATCAACAGAAGTCATAATGCATGCAAGGTGGAACCCCAAATTTCTTGACTAGAGGCGTCTCAAAAGTATCAGCAAAATGAAAGCCTTACTCCATTGATAGTGCGATTCTTATGTCAGTCAAATATCTAAGATACAACGGAAACATATCTTAACAAAAAATCATTATTATAATAAAATAAATATTACAACCAGTGCCTACCCACAGAAAATCGAGGGATGGTCCACATAAATGAACCCATTTTACTCTATAACTGCACATAGATTTTTATAGCATATTTCAAACTGAAATTAGTGATCTTTTACAAAAGTAAACATACACATGTATAAACTGAAACTGATCACAATAACGGGTACCGGAGAAGATCAGCATTGGTCAGAATTGTGCCGGAAGTGACGTGCAGTGGTGTTAGAAGCGAAGCTGAGTGGTCATTTTAACATAGAGGTGAACGGCAGTGAAGACGGGTTGTCGGAGGAAAAAGAAGTTTTCTAAACAACATGGCAAGATAACTCTCCTTTTTTACGCATTTTGGGCAGNCCTGTCACACGGGGATGGTGGTTTGGGATTGCTGTTATAAAATGACAAAACAATAGCATCTTATTAGTGGCAGATTTAGGGAAGGTGTCAGGGGGTCCTGCCCCCCCCCCCCCCCCCCCCCTTTCTGGAAAAAAATCACACCAATATTCCCCTGTTGATATTAGAATTTTGAAGAGCTGAATCATAGTTTTAAACTGCACCAAATGGCACTGTTTGCCCTCCAAAACACCGAACCTGACACCAAAAAGGTAAGGGTCGGCTTCGCATCCGAGGCCTGTCATTCTTAAAAAACTGGACCCTCCCCCCTTCAAATAATCCTGGATCCACCCCTGCTTATCAACCATTATATTTGATATCAAATCGTCAGGCTCAGCAATCAAATTTCATTGGTCGAATGAATGAATCCTAAACAATCACATGCGCAGGATTGTGTTAGAGAAGACAAGATGCGTATGCGTAGGGCTCTGAGATAGTTCACCGAAATGAATTGGTAGAACACACGGTTTCGAATGGTAAAGTACATGTATTAGAAAAAATGCATTGGTTTTTACAGTGTCTTAAAAAAAAAACAGAACCTTGGGTTTTACATTTACAATACTTCCTTGTACACAACATTGCGGGTGGCAGAGGTGGTAACGCAGATTTTCAGTCTGTCTTTAGCGCCAACACGCGACAGTGTAACGCACAGCATGCCGTGCAGAATAAAGTTTTTCTGCATATACCTATGGATTTACGCTTTTCCTGAAAGAGAGTGTTTGTAAGTGTGTTGTTAGTAAGTGTGTTGTTTGTGTGTGTGTGTGGGATGGGAGGGGGGTTATTATAACTTATCGGGAATAGATATCTTCATTTTTTGTCCAATTTCGTCATGTTTACAAAGAAATTAAAGGGGCACATGTTCCTTGTTCACATTTCATCTCTGCCCATCTGGGCTTCCTTTTTACCTTCTACAAGGAGCTTACGTTTTTGGTTCCGTTAGTTATTTCGTTATATTTTGTTTGCGATTTTTGTATTGGTAAAAGAGTCGCTTCTTTAAGAGACTTAGAGTTTTTACCCGTGAGGGTTGGCGTTTTAATCTGTCATCAATGGATCTTGATAACACGATCAACGTGAGAGGCTCTACATTTTCACCTTCTATGCACAAGTAGCAAGGAAAAACTTATTTCGTCGATTTTATACTGCAGCAGAGTATCATATGAGGATGCGATATGTTTATCACGAAAGCAGTAAAATTTTGCCTTTTGTCATGCAGGCCTATTTCCTTCTGATTTTGATTTGATTCTTTTCATTGAAATAAGTCTGTGCATACAGCCTTATGTTTTCTACCTCTGGGGTTTGAAGTAGGCGTTCTTAAAACTACAGACATAAACCTGTCGCACGCAAAGACCTCATAATAAACTAGTGCTTTCTTCATCAATCATTAACACTTACGATTAACTGTTGAAAGCTTTACGTAAACGATCAAAGCTGTCTTAAAGTCTCAGGTTGGACCATTTTACTCCTTGTGAAAGGTTACTTTGAGAAAAACAAAAACACGAAAAAATTTTAAGTTGTGTTAAAGCCTTTTCAATACATGACGTGTGTATGATTTTGGACATTTAAATGTCAGCGACTCCATCCGAGTTTATTCAGCTCGAAAATATTATAACCTGATACGAAAACGTTTCCAATGAAAAAAAACCTGACTGCTAACTTTTCGTCTTATGTAGGAGACGCGGGGGATATTTGCAAAGGGGAAAGTTGATGATAATTCAACCATGCTAGCAAACACTGACAAGTTAATATCATGAAAGTTCTATCAATCAGATTGAGAAGTTAATTACCTAGAATTGGCTCGACCAAACGAAAAGACTTAAATTTTTACTTAGGTATTTTAGACAATGCGAGAACATGATAAAGGAAATTTAAGTATAAATCTTAGAAAAGCCAATCTGTTCGTTTTGTTTTCTTTATTAATAACTCGAAAGCTCCGTTCTGTGCTGGGCAAAGTCAACTGACTGGGCTTTGAAACTCCGGGTGACGGAGAGCGTATTCAAAAATGGTGGTGGGGGGGGGGGGTCATCGTCAGTGCATCCGTTCATTGGAATTAAATCGATAGCTACCAAATGAAAAAAGAAAAGGTAAACTGAATTATTTTATTACATGAACGACATGAGCTTTATGTACAGAATGAATCATGAAATCAATGTAAGAAATTATTTGCCTACCAGAACTAGTACCGATATAGAAATCAACAGAAGTCATAATGCATGCAAGGTGGAAACCCAAATTTCTTGACTAGAGGCGTCTCAAAAGTATCAGCAAAATGAAAGCCTTACTCCATTGATAGTGCGATTCTTATGTCAGTCAAATATCTAAGATACAACGGAAACATATCTTAACAAAAAATCATTATAATAATAAAATAAATATTACAACCAGTGCCTACCCACAGAAAATCGAGGGATGGTCCACATAAATGAACCCATTTTACTCTATAACTGCACATAGATTTTTATAGCATATTTCAAACTGAAATTAGTGATCTTTTACAAAAGTAAACATACACATGTATAAACTGAAACTGATCACAATTCATGTGACCGATTGTTCGAAAACATTATGAACTGCAAGGAAAAAGGAATACATTTTAATTCAAGAAGAATAATTCTTAAAGGACAATGTTCATGTAAAAATCCATTTCTCNCATTTATTTCTAAACAAGTTGACCGCAAATTAAGCACGATTTTGCACCTTCCAGTTCCGTGTCACGTTTTCATATCGTGCGTCTATTATTTCTACAAGTATTCTCTGCCCAAAATGCGTAAAAAAGGAGAGTTTTCTTACCATGTTGTTTAGAAAACTTCTTTTTCCTCCGACAACCCGTCTTCACTGCCGTTCACCTCTATGATAAAATGACCACTCAGCTTCGCTTCTAACACCACTGCACGTCACTTCCGGCACAATTCTGACCAATGCTGATCTTCTCCGGTACCCGTTATTCATGTGACCGATTGTTCGAAAACATTATGAACTGCAAGGAAATTTTTGAAAAAGGAATACATTTTAATTCAAGAAGAATAATTCTTAATTAAGATTTTTCAAGCTTAACGCTACTTCTTATTTTCAATGAGATCATACGATTCTGAACAATAAGAACAGGATGAAAAATCTTATCATTACTGTTCAAATCCGAACAGTTGCAGTCATTGTGGCCAGCTATAGCGTGTAGCTCGCACCATTTTAATCCGTCCACTGGGGTAATATGCACGTAGAAGCAAAATTTCCGACAAGAAACAAAGTTGTAAATGATTTGAAAATGACAAGGCAAAATGACTTATTGAAGAGGAAAAGAATTTTCAAGAAACTCCTCATGATATTGAGCTAAATTCGGGCCATTACTTATTAATCTTTGAATATGTATAAAGACAAAATAAATTTATTTTTCCTGACAGATGCCTTGAGAAATGCGTCAACTGCACTCTAGTTACAGTCAATTTGCGCACATGAGCAATTTATAATTCCAACAGTCGAATCTTGAATCCTCTTGGCATATTTAATCATGGCTATATCTGAGATATCGTAGATAAATATTGCAGTAAATATAGGCGTCCCATATTTCTTATAAAACACAATTACCGTTCGGCAGATTTCGTTTCATACCAAATAGGGCATATTTTTTGGACCTAAAAACCACATTTTGCTAATCAAATAAGTAAAAAACATCAGATCTAAATGTCATACATTAAACAATGTATTTAGAACAAATCTAATTTGTCAAAAAAACTGAATATGAAGGACAGAAACGCATGTAACAATACTGGTTTAAGGAATGAATGTCTTGAATCTTATCTATCTACTTTAAGGAACGTGGAGCTCTGCTCTTGTTAAATAACCAAACCTTGTCATTGCTCCTTTTTATGAGGAATACAACCATGTCATTATGCTGTGTTGACGTAACACTTTTTTTGAACATACGCTCAACTTGGCGCCTCAACTTGATAATATTTCTAAATTGGTTCGCAGAACCCACTAATAAACAAGAGGGACAACCCTCAATAAGAAAAGTGACTAACTGAAAAAAACGTGAATGTGGAAAAACTAGAAACGAAACTGAATGCTCAAAATTAAAACTGACTCAAAAAAGGGAAAATGTATACAGCGCAAGATTGCATCTAGCATTCTAATACAAAAATAATAAACCTGAGGTACATCAAAGATTGCCTTTCAAGACAATATCGCACACTTAAGGCACAGACTTCTTATCATATATGGCACACATGCTTCATGATCTGTTCGCCTATTATTTGGTTGATAGTATATGAATTGCCCATTCTGGGAATTTCTACAAACTAAATTGATCCCGACTCGGGTTTTCTTCAAAACACTTGTTGCCGACGACAAGAAGGTTCCTGCAGAGATGCTAAGCGTCGTCTCAATACAATAGCATCTCACCTCTAGAGGCCAAGACTTGTCCAAAAACGTTTGCAAATACCAACAACCCGCTGGTACAGTATGTGACAAGATGAACACAAAGTACACTATTGGCTGCGAAAAAAGGCTCTCACTGCAACCGTTCGGGGAGACCTACAGTTTTTCCGATAATGTACTTTTAACGCAGCAATTGCAGGGTGTGAAAACCTGGTTTGCTGAACCTCATGTCCTCCACACATCTGGAAACTACGTCATAAAGTATACGATGACGTCACGTTTTCCAGCAAACTTTTGTAGCAATCAAAGTGATGCTTTCACAGTGATCGAGTAAATGTCTTTTTGTAGACTGACGACCTCTATCTACTGTCTTTTAAAGCTGGAGTGACCACAATGAATCTGTATGGATTAAAAAAATACTTGTCGGGGGGGTCAGTCCATGGCACCATGTTAGACAATGAGTGTAAAACGTCAGCTTCCTCTCACCGCGCCGTCCACACAACCAATGTGATGATAACCACCACAAACACCATCAGAGCAAACACCAGCAACATCACGTACTTAGGACGAGAAAAGAAACTCTGTAATGTCTTTTTCTTTGAGCACCTGTGAGCTGGCGCATCTTTACAGTTCCCATTCGGTTCCTTCGTGTCTATGGAGCACTCTCGGTGGTGGTGTGTACTGTGTTGTTGTAACTCGGTATCGGAAGACTTGAGGAGACGGTCGCAGGACGTGGGGGTGCCCGAGTCATCGCTACAATGTGTCACGCTACACACAGACGAACTGAAGTCTATTGCGATTTCAGACTCCGTGAAATCCACTTCAACTTCCGGTGGCGCACTGGGTATCCGTGGTCGACACGCGACCGGGGACGTGTCCACAACAATGTCCGTTGAGCTATGCCTTCCTTTGCAGTCTGGGGAAGGTAACACGGGAATGCTGCGCACACTTTCGTTCTCGGTGAGGATCGCCAAAATCGCAGTCGCCTGAAACCCAAAGATGCTCTCGTAGGACGGCGGACGTTCGGGCTCGGAATGGAGGCGGCGCGTGCGAAATCCCGCGTATCTGGCATCCTCGTGGTGGATCTCGTAGGAGTTTGGTACCGACTGACTGAAGGGGCAGTCCATGCTGTCGCTAAAGCCTCCCGACATCGGAACTGACCGGCTTAAAGAGGGAGAGGTTGGGGGTGTGGCACCATGGACGTCGCCAATATTATGAATACTGCTTGCCGAGGCCCGATCGTGGTCGTACTGAAACACAATAGGCCTTTCCAGGGCCGACTGCCGGCGCGTCCATTGTCGGAGCTCCATGGAAGGCGGGGGCCCATAGGGGGTGGAGTGACTCCTCACTCGATGCCCACGGTAGACGTCCGAGGTACTGCCCGGGGGACTGCTTTCAGGCGTGTTTTGAGTGTCGTGATTCGTGGGCTCCATGGCTAGGTATCTGAAAAGAGAAGTTATACTCTCAGCGATGATCACAATTCGTAAAGTTAACATCTTAGTACGATATCGGCGTTTCGTTCACCAGGATTCGGCTTGATAAAAAGTACTTCCGTAACGGTACTTTACCTGCAAAAAAGAACATTTGCACGCACGAGCAATTTTTGTCTGATCGTTGTATAAACGTCTCCGTTCTTATGCTTATCACACGCAATCCTTCATTCTACTTCATTCAAATCCACTTCAACTCATGACGCAGACGGAAACAGCGTTATTTTTCTTTAATCCTCTGACTTAGACCTTATGCACAATTACATACAAACAGTTGCCATTCCAAAAAAACCCAGTCGGCAGGTGGCCGATAGAATACTTATTCTTCCAATAACCCCAACTCAACAATACGACGTAATAGGCTGCTGGCAGTTAACACACTAATACCACTTTTGACTACCTCTAACTTTTCTTTTTCATCTGGCAATTCGGAAGATGAAAGCAACTACTTATGATTTACATCATTCATTGTGTTTTGTATCCAAACTTTTCGACCTGGGCAAACCGAATAATGATATTTGTTCAGACAACATTAATCAGGCACAAAAAGCAACCTGTTTTCTGACAGTTATTTTCTCTGCCAAAGTGCTAAAACACTTAACAAAACAAGCAACGTGCCATCCTGACAACCTAGGGTTGCCGAGGTTAAATACCGGGCTTGTCAATGCGGCAGCGGTGAACTGTCGATCCCCAACCCTTTCACCGCTGCCAGAGAGGCTACATCAACACCGACGTGTTCACAGCGACTCTCTTCCATCGATCAACTTATATCTAATGTTGTTGACTGACAGTGCGCTGACAGAGGTGTGGTACATACCCTTCCCTCCACCCCCTGCGGAGGGGTTTAGGGTTCCTTAATCCCGTGCTACTTCATTGGTCTTTATAATAAAGGAGTCATTCTCTGCCAGGGGCTTTGGAGAAAGGTAGGGTGTAATGATGCCACCGCACCATTAGACTACTATTCTGACCCTTATGTCATAACTTACATAAGGTCCTCAGCGTGGGGGAGGGGGGGGGGGGGGGAGGGGGGAGGGGAGGGGAGTGTAGCCCGACAGGTTTGATTTATTTTATCTCATTCTGCATTTTTTCTGTGAATGAAAAAAGTGAAGTACTATATATATATGCCTTTATCATGGACATCTCTCATTATGTCCATGCTTTATATAGCTTTGTTTGAAGAATAAAACATTAAAATTCTTTGCAACTGATAAGTTATTAATTTATATGCAAGATAGCCCCAAATACGTGCTATTATCACTTGTTACATGTACAACCTGCGCGTGAGTAGAAACTTCTTGAAGTAACGCACCTACAACTGAACTCTAGACTAACGCTGATACCGCATAGGAAATTAGGGTCCGTGAACAATCGCTTTGGTCACGCAAAGGCTGGTCATTCAGTTCTTCAGGACACTGTCAGCATATCACTGGGGCGTCATGTGTTCATACCGACAACACGCACGCACGCACGCACACACGTCCGCGCTCGTACACAAATTCTACGTCATCCATAATTTTCACCTATTTTATTTCTTTGTAAATGCACCCATGACAAGCCATACTTATAACAGCAATACAAACAAAAATAAAACAGCAGCTTATGGAGAAGCTTGGTCCACAACTTTAACACAGATTGTAAACGGCCCTTTTGTAAGAGGAACTGCACAGCGTAAAAAAGATAAATACTGAAGGAACATGCGAATTATATAATACTACAAATACATTAACGATTTGTCAACAAAGGTTGCTGTAACTGGCAGAGATGAAATAACTCAATAAAAGTGACCCTGGTGACCCACTTATTGGTTCCAACACTTCCTTCTTAACACACACAGAGATTGCGTTTTTTTCCCTCTCTCACTCTTTTTTTTTTTTTTATCACGCCTTGAGCGAATATCCACTGTTGCTGTTGCACTGCTGTTTACCAACGGAGAACAAGACCTGCCCAAATAATCAGGTGGTCGCGATTCAATACCAGACATCTCGACTTCCCTAGATCACATTTAACATACAATAATACAANTCTCTCTCTTTTTTTTTATCACGCCTTGAGCGAATATCCACTGTTGCTGTTGCACTGCTGTTTACCAACGGAGAACAAGACCTGCCCAAATAGTCAGGTATTCGCGATTCAATACCAGACATCTCGACTTCCCTAGATCACATTTAACATACAATAATACAACTCACACTCTTTTTAAACTGTGGACTTAAACATAGATACACATGTAACAAGACTTGACTGTTTCAATCCAAATGACTACACGTTATCGCTTCATAGGGCCATTAGGAGAAAAAAGCCCTTGTGTTTTTCTTATTCAGCAACTTAAAAGAACACACTATTTTGCCAAACGTGATACTCCAAAATGAACATTGCCCAGTTGTAGCACTTCAACCCGCCTTTTAATTTCTGCGAGGCAAGCGGCTATACTAAACTGCATCTTTCTTTCTTTCTTTCTTAGCAAAGTAATGTGTTTTTGAGGCAGGAACAACAATTCTGTAAACAACTTTTAAGTGGTTTCACATTTTTCTTAGTGCATTAGAACTGTAAAGTGGTTCGAGTGGGCTTTATTGCCATTAGGTATGTCCGAGTTCCATCTAGTCACGTGACAAGAGAGAGAGAGAGAGAGAGAGAGAGAGAGCGGACAATGAACTTAAAACACTGAAATATCAATACACAGCAAACAAACGACGACATTTTTTCTTCTGTTTAACAGATTCTATTAACAGTGCCTTACTTAAGTTCAGCATTTTGACCCACTGCAAAACTCATTGAATCTTTCTCTCTCGCTTTTTTTTTTTTTGGGGGGGGGGGGGGGGAAAGAATATAACATATCAAATTTGTCCATAATTTTGTCTATTTTCTGACTGATTAAGTTTAAAGTTTTGTTTGTTTAAATCTATATGTCCAATTTGCCAAAATTAACTATATCTTAATTCGAGTCCAGGTGTGGTCAAGAGTATGACTCAGGTCATTTACCAGAATTTGATGTCATCATCCTTAAGTCATATGCTTTACGAAAGGAGGGGGGAGAGGACACTGTAGATTCAAGCAACAGTTGCCAAACATTGTAGCTTCTTTCACAGAATGACTCCTCTTATTAACTAATTTAAAGATTAACCATCCCAAATTGGTCAAAACAACATTTCCAAATAGGATGGAAAATTTACCAGCTGTACAAGAATACAGTGAGGTCCCAGTGATACTGGGTCAAATTTGTTGCTGCTTGCCCAATAAAGAAGTAATTTGACAAGGCCTGTGAAGGCTTAGAGATCAATTTAGAGCTGTAATTTGTACTCCAGCCCCCGGGGTGTGGAGTAAAACATAACATGTTCACCCACAGAGAAGGCTCGGTTTAGAATTCTGCTCACTGAGAGAGAGAGAGAGAGGGGGGGGGAGGGGGGGAGAGACCGAGAGAGTAATATAAATCTCAATTCCATAATGGAATGGGGGGCTTTTTCTCTAAGTTTTTTTTCTTCCTTTTATCCCTCTTCTGTCTGTCTGTCACACACACACACACACACACACACACACACACACATTTTAAAATCAATTCATTTTTTTCTGTCAGTCAAGTTTTGAAGGACAATTTAATTACTATTCAAATATACTGACCCAAAATTGACAATATCTGTGTAAACAGCAGCAACATGGTGCCAGCAAGGGAGAGATAGGACCCAAGTCAAAACCCCTTAACAATATATGTCCCTTTAAATGTGTTTAAAAAGGTTCCTCCATAATTTTGTAAGTTAACAGTGTCAATAGCAATAGAGTAGTGTGGTGGTGGTGTCCACAGCAAACAGCAATGATGGAGTGCCTTGAAGTGGATGTGGATGGGTGGCTACTTGAAAACTGATGATAGGTTGAAAATCTGTGATTATAATGATATTATGATACGAATATCAAGGCTATAGTCACTTGAATTGTCCGTCTTAAACATTGGCTTTATGTCACTTTTTTTGTAGAGCTAGCACCAATTTTCTTAATATTCTAAAGGGCTTCCAATTTAATATCCTGGGTGAGGATAGATTTTTATGAAACTGACTGTGGTTGTCAAGTAATGCAAGTTTGGCACATCTTCAGTCTAACCTTGTTCAGTTATGAACTCTGTGTTGTAGGAGGATGTGACGTTGACAGAGAGAAGTGGCAGTGACAGATCATGCAAACCTGTGTACACCTGGTGTCTGGGACTTGAGGAGAGAAAATAACTAAATATAGCACAGGGCCACATGTATTCTACAGTTTGTCACAGGCCTACTATATAACATGTACCCCATTACTAATATAAAGTAATATGAAAATCACTGACTATACAGACAGTTATTCCTAGATTTTTTTTTTAATTTACAAAAGTGAAAACCAATTGCTTAACATGAAGACAAAAATGGGGAAAATGGTGTTTTGTTCCCCTACCTTTAATGATTATATAACCTCAGTCATACTTATTTTTCATAAAATAAGATTTTCCTTGGCATCTTCACTAATGTACAGAAGTGGCTAATGCACAACTACACAGATGATAGTCCATGAGCCAGACATTTTTTTGGTACCAAAAAAGGGCCAAATTCTCATAGTGATTTTTAGTAAGGCCTATGTCTCTAATGCCCAAATATGTGTGATAGCCTTCTCATACTGGTAGCTTTTTGGGTGCTATCACACCTTATATAACCCCACCCCTGCAGCAGCAAGGACTTTTTCTAGATGGGGGTAGGNAAGAGGACCTTAATTTCTTGATTAAGACACCTGTAGAGAAAGTCATGCCTCATTAGAAAAAGGTCGAAAGGTTAGCCCAGGTCGAATTTTAAGCTTTCTTATAAATATAAACCTTAACACCATTTTTATATTATTTTTGGGTTTAAATGTATTATATTTAGGGATAACTTGATATAATATAATTATTTATGACTAATGCATTAAAATTTGAGACTGTATATACCCATTTTTCATACATTTTATTCACATTTGGTTACTTTTCCTAAAAAAAGCCTACGCACACTGTTTATTTTGATTCCATAATCAAGGGAAATAGGTATTGTTTTTAATACTAGCATTCAGAAACATACCTTAGTCTTTTGATTATATTTTTGATGGATTTTAAATTTTTTTATCATAATGAGATAGTCCATTGAAAAAGACAAAAAATTAAGCCTGCTTCATTCTGATCTCAGGAGGAGATAAAGGGAAACAAATTCAGACTGGTATCCGGTATGAAGAGCAGATATGAAAATTCCTTCAGCCTCATTCTATCTTAAACCCTAAAAATTGAATCACCTCATGCCTGTAACCATGCCACCAATGCCACAACAAGGGAATTTAAGTACCATTTAGTTGAAATTAATATTTTGAAAGACCTGTATCCAAATATTGCCCAGTCTTTTCGTGAAATTGAACATTTCGCAGATATTATTCTTCTTTCTATACATATTTATATTCAAGATCTGCAGATTCAAGATGGGTAGTTTGTGTTCTGAATGTATGGTAGTCCTGAGAGAAAACGCAGTGAAGTCCACAATAGGCTATTCTATTATTCTATTCTATTATCCTATTCTATTATTCTGTAAAATTTCTAAACTTACACCAAATTGTCAAAATTTTATTAAGGGGGCACATACACATTATACTCAAAATTTCTTCAGAATCAGGGGCGGATCCAGAGATATTTTCTGAGAGCCTTCCAAATTATATTTGTTGATCCATCCTCTATTTTTGACCGTCTTCCGACAGAAAAAATTAGATACCCGTCAATGTAAACTTGAAAATCTGACCGTCTTCCGGAAGACCCAGAAGACGGCCTAAATCCGCCCCTGAGAATGGCAACAGATTTATGGCTAGGTGGCATTTAAGGTCAAACAGAAGCATGTTTATTGTCCTTAGATGCATCAATTTTCACATTGTCATAATTTAATTTATTATTATTGATCTTTTGAGGAGGGCGGGTTGCAAATACTACACACATATTCACTAACAAATATTTACAGGATTTATAGGATGGCAGAGGAACTAAATAATAAGTGGAAAGAAGGCAGATCATTTTTCGGCATGGACCCTGCTCCGTGATATGAATTTATCCATGTACACCATAGGCTGATCAAAGATTGAAGTAGGCTTCATAGCACATATAACATTATCATGTTGATTGTTTATATGTGTTTTGTCAAATTAATCAATTATTTGGTTGAACATTCTAATTTAGCTATTACATGTAGTAATTAAAAGTTATCCATCAGTTGGATAAAATGTTTTATCCATGAGCCAGCCCAGTCAGTACTTGGGTACTAGTATACTGGTAATAATTATTGATATAATAATCTTTTCTAAACCGATTTGAAATACATTCACTTTCTTACTGTGTATACTGTAACAGAAGTTTTGACGTCTAAATCTGCCAATTAAAGTTCATTTATTAGTTGGAAAAAAGAATGTGAAAACCAAACTGCTTGTAGAAGTTTAAGTTTCTGATAAGATTTTATACTTTTTACTTATTTCAAATCAATGTTTTCACTTACACAGTGACTTACATAACATGCATTGCTATTTTGGAAATAACTGTTCTTTCAATTTTTACATTTTGCTTAGATGAAAAACTATCCATTGTGTACACTGAATTGACAGGCACTTTTAACTGCTGAACCTCAGATACAGTCTGATGTTGAACAGCATAATTTTGATTATACAGTCATACAAATTTCAAAATTTTATGTATGCTTTAATTAAATAAAATTTTAGTTATTTCCCTAAATATGTTTTGCAAATAACAAATATGTATCACCATTAAATCATCCAAACGTTTTCATCTAAATGTTAAAATTTTCAGATATTGCTTAGATTTTTATGCTGTAAAGTGAGTGTGGGTGACCATTGACCATTGACCAACCACTGACCCATTAATGCATGATAATGTGCCCTCTTTAAAAAAGTAAACTTGATGAACATCTTTTGGATACAGGCTATGGTACAATAGCTTTGCATCTTACTTCTTCCAAATTGAATGAAAGTAAAATTTCACTTCCTGGCTCCTTATAATAGAAAGTTTTCACTTCCATTTTGAATTGAAGTTATATAATATGCAAATAAAAAAATCTTAGAATTAAAGAAGGGGCCTCAGACTCGATGAACTAGTCTTTAATAGTCACACAGCATCTAGTTATACCCAAAAGAATTTCTATAATCGAAAATGTTCTCTTTTAATGGTGTTTAAGTTCATATTTATGAAAAAGCTTAAATTGTTGATGAAGTTTGGCCTCAGCTGACACTATTGACCTATTTCTAATGAAGCATGACTTTGTTTACATGTCTTAATAAAAAAAAATGAAACGTCCTTTTCNTGAGGGAAACTCATGAAAACAATATCATACCTCAGGGGGAGGGGGTGCAAAAACTTCACTTCATGACAAAAATATGACTAACATAAATATACCACTAAAACTATAATACACAAAATTTTTCAAATAAAAAAGTTTTTAGGAACCTACCCACCACCTACCTCACTTTGCCTAAGTCAGAATTCAGACTGTGGTCTAACTGCGAGGTCCCAAACCAAAGTATCAAACTGAAGTCAAGAGTGGCAGTTGTTCATGGCTAATAGTGCCCTAATGTCACTGTACTACTTGACTGCTCTCTCCATGCAGTGTCTTGTATGTTTATCAATAAACAACAAGTGACAAAAGACATTAAATACAAACAGCACCTCTCCTCACCTGGTCTCCCCAGCACACTGGGTCACAGTGAGCTGATACCAGCAGTCAGCTGTGCAGGCCAGGCCAGTTTGTGGGCACTCTGAGACACAATGTGTTTATAGCCCCTACAGCTGAAATCATGTATACAGTGGTTTATGTGGCTGCTGAGAGAGAGAGAGAGAGAGAGAGAGAGACAGAGACTACTACAGTGACTGCCAGTGTTCTGAAATTTGGGGTTTCCATGGGAAACTAAAGGAATAAGTTTTGAGATGTCGCAATAATTTGCCTATAGCAGCATACAACAAACAGGCTCTCTTTTTTGTTGTTGTTTAGACTACTAGTAGTTGTTTTTATGCCTTGGTTGCAATTTCATCAGCTGACTTCAGAAAGGAAAAAGTTTGCCGCCCAATGTCCTAGGTTGGACAGGAGGACCCAAGACTAAGACTTCAGAAAAAGTCTACAATCATCTAAATCCCATAGGAGATAACATAGGATGTTTCATTTGGGATTTGAAAAATCTAAGGTGTGACTAGAGTCCCTTCATCACCTGGGTAATTCGTTTAACTATATCCAGACAACGGAAATTAACCTGGCCCAGATGTGAACACAGCCTGAAGAAGTCCTAATGGTATATATCTACATTACCTGGAGACAGAATAGTTCTTTCTAGTATTACATGAAGTTAGGCATCTTGGCTGCCCTTCCTCACCTCACTGCCCACAGCATTCAATTATGACTGTGTAATGATACTATTATGTGTACACTAAATAGTGCAACTATCAACTGTGGAATTTTCCTACACAGAATATATGTTTAAATACCTTTTTTCACACAACTCTTAAAATTACTTTTTTATGTAGAACTCAAAAGTGTAATGAATCATGTGGATGTATTCTCGTATATAGGACAAAACCTGTTTTCTTGTTGAAGATTTTACCAGAACATTCCAGTTATGCCCAATTCTACTGTCATATCACAACACTGCACCCCTGAAATTTGTGCACAAAAAGGAAGTTCAACTTGTGTTTTTCTTTCTAGATCTTAATTCCCACTTCTTGCTACTTATCAAAGATATTGTGGTAAAGTTATGAGTAAAATTGCCCTTATCTCTATAAAACACAAGTAAGGAAGGTTAGGGAAAGAAGAGATACTTACTTTTTTTATATGATTTTTATTACTGATATCAAGCCTGAAATTGTATCCTAGTTGCAACTGATTTCTTAAATATATAGGATGTCTTTCTCCAGTCTACCTTTTAAATCAGAAAATACACATATTAAAATTAATCCTAATCCTTCTCTCACATACCTTCCCCCAAATGATTTGTTTCAATGACAATGAATATCACCTTCAGTGCACCTTCTCTTACCTCCCTCACCATGTATTATTAAAGGAATAAAAAATAAATGCAATCCATCCTTGCATACATAAATAGTATTGAAAAAGAAACCTGTCCTGGCCTTAAGCTATATTCAAACTGTCTCCAAGGTCTCAAACAGAGTGCGCATGCGATGGTTCTTTGATACAAACAAAAAGTATACTCTACAGTAACAGCAGTTAAAATGTTAGAGTTGATAAGTTGATATTTACATTTATGATGGATGGAAAAAAAATGTGACCTTAACTGTCATTACTTCTCTATGTACTTGTATAATGACCACGATCACGAAAAAGCTTTTAAGTTTTATCTTGATTTCAGGCTTGTCTTTGGCACTGTGTGTGTGTGTGTGTGTGTGTGTATGTGTGTGTGTATGTGCCTCATGTATTTTCAGTTCATTAATGTTATCCTCTTTTTCTATCTTTTATCATCATCTTTCCTTTTATAAGTTTAAATAATTCAGACTTTAAATCATTTTGCACCTTAAATGTATTTTCTTTACAAAAATATCAAATTGACCAATTGTTTGGGTATGCCACCTTTACAGGCATAGGCACTTACACTATGTAAAGCCTAAAGTTAAAATGAATTGGTTCATAAAGTTCTATCACAATCTTCATATTGTGCTTGTTCAGTTTTACAAATGCATCCCTTAACTGGTAGCTAAATACCAAAACAAAATGAATTTTTCAAAAATATGTTTACTATAAAGAAACATACTGAACAATTTTCACAAAGCAGGATAAAAACCATATCATAAGCCCTTCACAATTTTTGTAAGATAAAATGCTGACTCCATACAGAGCAGTTGTGTCATATTTTACTAAGTACTAGTAGACAAAACATACCACACTCAACTGTCACTGGAATCAACAGAATAACTGAAACAATGCTTTTAAAATATAAAAAAATACAATGGGAGAATGAAATTTTCTCTTGAGTTTGGTTGTGTATGAACCATTCAGTGAATCACTGTGAAATAAACCAGTCTTAACAGGATATATACAATCTACGGTACATCATTCATAAAAACTAGAACAATACTGGTTTCATCCGGTTCATTCGGGTATGTGGTGTCAGTGACCCTCTGTGGATTTTACTACTTATTTGGACAGCGCATGTGCCTCTAGCTGGCTTGAAATATCATTATTGTATCTTCCTGACTCAGCAAAATGTCTAGGTACATCAAAATACTTTTTGTAAATATTGTAGGCTGTCAAATCAAGCCACTGCAAAATTGAATTAGACATTAGAGTGATATGAAAATAATAGCTGTCATCTAAGGCAACTGACTGCTGGTTAACTGATGGCTGGATGGTTGGCTTATTCTCCATTGAAAACCTGGGTGTTGAAGAAAATACCTTTTGTGGCAAAAGCTCCCTGAATTCACATCTACCAGTACACTTGTACCATCACTTTCTGAAGATGGAGGTAATCGCTAATATATGTATATATATATATGCACGTCCGCGATACTGGGTAACAACATTGGGACATGGGCAACATGGCACTGATCATGTGAGCACACTTTCTGCTTAGTATATAAATGCACCATAATATTTAAAAATTTTGGAAAATGTAACATTAAACGCATACAAAAATTATAAAGAAAGAGTACACTTAACTTCACATAGTTGGGAAAGCACGCTGCAATCCTGAATCGGTGGTTAAATGGCCACGACATGAAATTGTCTGTCATGCGCATGCTTTCTGCTTGGAATATGCATCATATTTTGCTTTATATTCAAAAATTATGAAAAAAAAAGTAACAATAAACACATACGCACGCTGTGATCTTGAATCGGCACTAAAATAGCGATGACATGAAATTGTTTTAGTATGCGAGTTACAAGCCAAAAAGTGAGGACCAGATAAAGCTAATTTGTCTTATTTAATATCTATGTGACCAGGTCATTATTTCATCAATGGAAATCTCCACTATTTACGCTATGTCCCTGGGCCGAATCTGAATGGGGAAACGAAACTACACACTAGCTGTGGTTTAGCTGTTGCGCGTCTGAAGAAAATGGAAACGGATTGGGTCATAACATCTATGATTACATGCTCAGATTTTATGAAAAGCGGAGTGTATCTCAGGTATTTAAAACCCCCAAATTGAACGATTTGAATAGTTCACGTGTATGGGAAATAATACGATGGTTATGCACATCAACCTGCTTTCGTCAGCTATCAAAATTTGAGACAAAAAGCATTATTTGTTTTTCTCTGGTGTGTGTTCCATAAAGGATCCCCGAGATAACAAAAACAAAACAGCAAAGCTGTCAAATGTACAGACAAAAAACAGGAAATAACTATGCACAAAATAGGCTACTGTCAATTCTGATGCAAAAGTACATTATGTTAAACTGCAAATTCAACATCGAATTTTAATTATGCTCAACAGGTAATACCAATGTAAGTAAATTGTGTAACAAGTTCACACTGTGAAAATGTATAACTTCCAGAAAAAGAAGCCAATTAGACTGCTTTTCCAACTCAGGCTGCATTTTAGTCCTGTATTTCTTTTTTGAAAGTTTGGCAATCATAAGTAACATGGTTTTCCCATAATGGTCATCATGGCAGCAGCACCCAAAATTGCGTTTTCTTCTATTCTGATGCCATATAATATTACATAATGGTTAACAGCATAATGACCGTCAATTTTTAATAATAAAATATACGTATCATGGATTTTCAGAAAATGTGACTAGCATGGGTCTTCAAGCCCGAGGAACTTCAAAGTCACACCTTGAAAATGCCAATATGTGAAAAATTAAATTTTCACAAAAAAAAACGTTTAACTAGCAGTAAGAATTACCAAACATACTGCATTGCCTACTGAAGCTGTATTTTAGTCCCATGTTTCTTTCCTGTAAGTTTGAGAACAGTAAGTGACATGGTTTTTCTTAAATGGTCATCATGGGAGCAGTGCCCACAATATTTTTTTTTTTTCAAATTTTGATGCAATATTACATAATGTTTAACAGCATGACCATCAATTTTAATAATAAAATATTAGTATTATGGATATTCAGAAAATGTGACTAGCAAAGGTCTTCAGGCCCATGGAACTTTAAAGTCACAACTTGAAAATGCCAAAATGTAAACAAAGACAGCAATGTTCTGAAATGTTTTTTTTTTTTTTTTCAGTTTTAGCAATTTCTAACATAAAACAAAATTAACAGTTTACTACCGTTTTTATATGATCAACTAACAAAATTGATGAGATGGGAAAAATATCAATAGAATAGTGTTAAATGTCCAATTTCCTCCATTCTGAGATTCTGAACATAGTGAATGATTGAATCTTACAAACTGTAATGATATGAGTTTATTTCCATTTTTGACACTTTATTACACAATACACGATAACAAGTTTACCATCATTTTTACATAATCAACTAACGATGTTGTAAAGATGCAGGAAATGTCAAACAAACACTTTTATGTATCTTATTAGTAAAATAATAAGTTAAAGACTGTTAACATGCCTAAGAATTGAATCTGAGGAAATGTGAAAAAACAGCATAACTTCTAAAATAATGACCTGATTATGCTGATTTTTGAACTCAACCTGCGTTTTAGCAGGAATTACCACTTCTGTGAGTTTAATGACAATTGGCCCATCTGTTTTTCGTATATTGTGTTTACAGTGTTGCATTTATGCTGAAAAATGAAATAACAGCATAACTACTAAAATAGTGGCCCGATCATGCCGATTTTCGAACTTGACCTGCGTTTTAGTAAGATTGATTACTCCTGTGAGTTTCATGACAACAGGCCTAACGGTTTTCCTTAAAATGTGTTTACAGGGTTGCATATATGCTGAAAAGTGAAAAAATAGCATAACTTCTACAATAATGGCCTGATCATGCTGATTTTCAAACTTGACCTGTGTTTTATGAATATTCATCAGCTCTGTAAATATAAAGCCAAAAAGTAAAACTGCCCTCCACTTATCGTGTTTACAAGGAAAGTGCACGGCGCCGGCATCGCCATCGCCATCGGCGACGACAGACGCAGGTGATGGCAATATGTACAGACACATCTGTGTCTGTACATAAAAACATGCAAATACTATTCTGGGGGCTTTCTTTTCCATAATATAAAGCAGCAAAACAGAGTGGTATGTCTGTGTCCCAGATTATTAGTATTACCCCATTCACACTACAATCTGAAATATCCGAATTTCTGCAATGCGAATTACATTCAGACTACCGCAATAATTCGAGTCTCGACCTAATTTGCTATTTAACCGGTTAAATGACTGCAGTGTGAACGGGGTATAAAGTGCTGTTTTCGTGTCATTTTCAACAAAGGATTAAAAAGTTTAAAATACACAGCAATGTTTGGAAACATAAAATTGTTCATTGTAATAAAAATATCTATCACCTTTCATATGAAAGCACCCCATTGTAATACAACGCATTGGAATATTTTGACAGACTTTTAAAGATGATCACCCACTGCCGTTACCCAGTATCAAGGACGTGCAGATATCTATATCCTCTTCTGTCAGAATGACTATAAATCCTTATCAGTACATAGAAAAGATAAAGTACAATCTTACCAGGTAACAAGGTTATCATATGCCTACACAACAAAACAAAAGCACTATAACTTATGGACTGTGTTTTGGACTGTGGTTTGACAGTGAACTGGGAATGGTCTCCTCAACAAGGGCAATTAATGCCAGTGATCACAGAAGATGCCTATTTATATGTTGATTGATGACAAGACATCTCAACATGTCTAGCCATGTGCTAAGCAGCCATCACTTAGACCCCATTTCCATAGATTTTAGATCGATCTATCCCTGTGGGGAGTCTCACTAGATTACTGTCAGCTTAGCCGGCTTAAGCGTCTGTCCCGCCTCTAAAGCTGTAAGGGGGTAATTAACTATGGTGCACGCTCGGCTGACTGCAATTTAGCGTGAACCCCCAGGGAGTTAGGTCGATC